GTTACCTACCCGGGTGAACCAAGGCCGAGCAATGGACAGGGGGAAGGAACCCTCTGTGACCCCGGTAACTTCACAGGACTCGACGATGGAAACATCTGGAGGATGGTGACGTATTACGACGCTGCAAGACCTACAGAACTGCAGTCGCTGCGCTGTACCACCCTTAGGCTGGGTAATTAGGACCGTGTGGATGATTCAAGTCATACCCTTGTAGCGCAGGCTGTAAAACCCCTGAAGAAACCCCCCTGGGCGCGCGCACTTGGGCTGGGACGCCTCACGCACGTGAACAAGCGTTTACCTCTCCAGTTCTGTAGGCACATCCTCGCCTCTCTCCTGGGTCGGCGCAGCCGGTTAGGAACACCGTGATGGCGAGCGGCAGCCTCTTCCCCCAGCCACAGCCTCCTGTGTACGCACCCCGACCCTGCGGTGCTGTTAGGGGGGGCTGATTTGGCAACGCCTACCTCACCCACAGCACCGGGGCTGGTTTTTTTGCACGTGAATGAGAAGCCATACAGATAGCAAAACCACCATTTATTAGAAAAGGCAAAAACGTGAAACTTGGGGGTTTTAAGAGCTCCTACTTTAGGTATATAAAACCCAAAGCAATTCACAGTACATTTAACTGCACCCATAATACGTTTGAAGGGGATATTTTCAGTCTACCCTGCCTCCTCCTTGAATTTAAAACAAGGAAAAGAAACAGTGAAAATACCTTTATATCACCTTACACAACTGCGACTAGAGGTGTCTACAAACACATAGCATACCCAAAGTTTGTTGGTTTTTTTTAATGTATGCTGCAGTAAGACAGTAAAGATGAAGTCACTGGAAGTCTTGCTGGATATTCTCCTTGTTTGCTTCCCCATGCTGCTGTTTGATTTGTGAAATTTCATTTTCTAGCTGCACAATAGTTCGTTCAATCTCGTAATTTTTACTGACGAGAGAGACCCATCTGGAAGGGAAAAGAAATAAAATAACACTTGAAGGCTTTGAAACAGTCCTGTTTCAAAATCTAAGACAGTTACTGCTCCAAAGAAAGCACAAAGACACCAAGTAAAGCAGTATTTTTCCCATTACATGATAAACCTCATGATAGCAATAGTAATTTGAACAACCAAAGTGATAAAGTATTTTTAACCCTGTTAAACCTTAACATACAAAATTTAATTTACTAGACTCAAATCCGCTACCTGCCAATATTGAGATAAAGAGTTTAAGAAACAATTTAGACAATTTAAAGCAGCTGATATGTCCTCCTTTTCACATCTGTTGCCTACTGAGCCGCAGCAACTATTACGTAGACCTGAATTACAAATCCTTGAAAACACTTTGTGCAAAGCAACATTATTCACGCAGTAACATCCTACAAGAGTACTGAAACATCACTGATGCTCTGCCTGGAAGAATTTCCAGCGAAAGATATACTTGTGGAAGATTTTAACAGAAAAATTCTAGATACTCACGTAGATTCCATTTCTCGTAGCTTAGCCCCAGCTGTGAGCTGCATGTTCTTTCGTTGCCAGTTCAGATCTTGAATGTTTTTCCTGAGGAGAAAGAGCTCCACGTTTGTTTGGGATTTTTTTGTCTCCTTTCTTTAAAATTTGTAATACCTGCTGCTAATTTCAAAGTACACCTAATCCTTAGGAAGCACTACCAGAAAACACTTGTGTAGCCAAGACCATAACTACAACATTGAGATGGACAAATCTCATTACAGGGCTGCACACAGAACCTTGAGATAAATTTAAAAAACAAAAACCACAAAAAACCACAACCCCCCCCAAAAAACACCCTTCCACTTTACTACAAGCAAAACTTCAAACACTCAAGCCTACAGCTCCTGGACAAGTGCAGAACAGAGAAAATGTTTTGTTCTCTCTGAAAAAAAAGTCAGAAAAGCAAAGATGAATAGCTAACTATTCACAAAATTCAGCACTTCAGTGAAGCACCTGAGAAGCGCAGAATACTTAAAATACTTTGGTCTCTAAGTAGTTCTTAGTTCACACTGCTAACGCGCATATTCTGTCAGCCTCCTAGCAATACGTCGTGGTGTTCCTTGAGCCCTCTCAACTTGAGTTCCGCTTCTACTCTTCCCCACACTGATTCTGTCCAAGACAATTCCAGCTAATCTAAATATGCAGGTACTGATAAAAGATATGAACCACTATGCAACTTGCCTTCTACCCATGTCCCAGTATACAATTCCATCTTCAGGTTGAAAATGGCAGTAATTCACCTAAATCTGAAAGCTGAAAAGCTTTACTTGCCAACTCCATAGCACGCTGTCTAAACAGAGTGAATTATGAAGGCACATCAGTTGAATATACTGCAACCTACATCCCCGAGTAATCCATCTCTGTAAACTCATTAAAGCATCCACTTTAAAATGATAGGCCAAACCTAACATCAGGGAACATGTCTTCGTTGAGACAATTGCACACTAAATAAAAGTCTATCAGCAGTGAAAAGAAAACATGACTGCATTTCAGAGAGGACTCCACCACAATCCATTCTGTTCAAAGCAGAGGTTCAGATAAAATAAAACCAAACAAAGCAAACAGAGTTTGAGTGGAACAGGCACGTTATGAATGCAACTGCTTGTGAGGGCAGGGTCAGATTTCTTAATTATTGTTATTCCTGTTGGTTTATTTGTTGTTGGCAGGGTCAGATTTCTTAATTATTGTTATTACTGTTGGTTTATTTGTTGTTTTTTTTTCATATGACCATGGCAGCAGCATACACACAAGTCTTTGTGTAGCTGGGGGCGGGGGAAAGAGGGGTTCACTTTCCTTCCAGCTTCAGTATGAAAACATGAAGAAGAATGACTCACCTCAGCTTCTGAAGCTCTTTCTGGGCTTGTTCTATCATATGAACCAGATGTCTAATAGCAGAAAGCAAGCACAGCATTAGGAAAACATACAATTGCTGATCAGACCCATTTAACCTGCCATTTAACTCTTCAGAGTTAAGGATGCAACGAGCCACTTGAACGTAAACACCAGACAACTAGTTCTCAGTGCAGCCTGTGCTCTTCACTCCGGAAAGGAATGACACAACGCCAAAACGCTCCAATTCTAACACACGCAGTTTTAAGACATAAATATTCAATAATTGCTATGGGCAGCCCTTGCCATCGGAAAGTATCACAAAATCATATCCATTAGCTGATCAAGTTTTATCTTCAAGCTTGTTGCTGTAGGCTTGTGCTATTCTGACTAGAATGCTATGGTAACATCTCCCTACCTTATCGTCAGTCTTCTCAATTCTAAAATTACCTGTAACCAATTTTTATTATTGTTTCGCTCATATAACATTGTCAGAGCACAAACAGTTCTTTTCATATATGTGCAAGCTAATAGATCCTCTACCTGCCTCCCTTCACCTGAACTAAGCCACCCTTTGCCTTCTCTCACAGGTAAGTCACATTCCTTTTGTCTACACCTTTATCTAAGGCTACGCTAAACCCTTCTCAGAGGCGCACATTAACATTCTCTGCCTGAAATAGCCCTGGTGCTTCCTGCAGCCACACTGTCTACAACTTTTTTTGGCTTTTGCAACAGCTTTATTAACAGTGGCTCCGGGCTGTGCCAGATCAGTACAAAATCATCTTCATTTCCACTACTGAATTATCATTTCGCAGGCTGGCATTAGACCCTTTCGTTATCCTCAATTAAAGCCCATTATCACCAACTGCTACACAAACAATAACTCACAAAATTCAAGGCTCGGATGTATTGAAACACAGACTATTTCTTGGCCAGAGAGACGGCTCCTTCTCTTTCAGATCAGCCTCCTTTTCTTCCACACATAGCTCTCTCAAAAGGCCTCAGTTATTCCAGGATATGTTCTAAAGATCCCCACTGGACTTACACAGGAAGACATGAGAATTGTACAGATAAGTGAAGTCAGAACTTCGATTAGGTTCAGCAAAGCAGACGAAGGCCTTACTCGTTGTACACCTTCCAAGCGTTACAACCATGCTGCGACATTAACTCCAGGTTCTCGATGCGGACCGCCTGGTGCTCCAGTTGCGCCATAGAGTTGTTCACGCACTCCTGCCACGC